TAATTAAATAAAATTATCGAATATTTCCATTTAGGTTCAATGTTGCCACTTTTCCGCATTTGTGATTATCCTACATTAATGGGAGTAAGTTAATTTGTTACCTCTGATTTTAAATTTTCGAAATTTAATACTACGTTTTAACTTTCATACAAAATAATTAATTATTCTTATTTTAGTTTATTCATGTTATTATTAAATATATTTCATTACACATTTTGTATTAATAATTTTATATTAATTAAATTTTCATATAAATTTTATTTTAAATATATTTTATTACCTATTTTATATTGTTTGATTTATTAGTACAATAAAAATACTTATAAAAATATGTTTCATTTCTTCATTATGTTAACATCTATTCATCTGATAAGCTTTGTATCCTTTTTTTTCTAAGGGGACGCAATAAAGATTTTAAAATAAAATATACTTTTTTAATATAAAAACAATTAACTGTAGCTTAAAAAACTCATTTTTATTGCGTATTTTAGGTAAAATTTCATATACGAGTAGTAAGCCACACCAACCCGCCATTGCATGTTTGTGTGTCTATCTTTATCAATCTTAGCGACGATATTGTTTTCGCAACTTGTGTAAGTGAGATAGATATATGTTTATTTAAAATTGTTATTAGTTTCAAAGCTACGTCGTCGCGTTCGGATAGTGGTTACACTTTTTTCGACGCGCGGTAATGTAGTTTGCTCCTCTAGTGTTGTATAACTCAATGCATTTAACACATTATTTTTTGATAAAAGTCCTATATAATTATGGCACTTTTGTGTACCAAACTAACATGGAACGAACTCACGATGGGGTGTCCAATGTTCAAGCAGTGGTCCACAAACTAATAAAAAGTGCAGTGGTCAGTCAGAAAGCAATCAATTTCATAGTCAAGTATAGAAGCAGTGGGTCTTACAAAAGTAATAAACATGAAATAAAACAATCACGAAAAATACGGAACAACCAACACATTTACTTACGTACGATTACCATAGACGTCTATATGTTCAATATACGTCTATGACGAATACGAATTCTAAAAGTGAATGACAGACTGAACTGAATGATGGTATTTGTCCATAGATGTATATTATGTTGTGTAGAGGTAAGGAGTACAGACTCTGTATAAAAAAGTGTGCGTACCTTCGATCAACAATACCAACTAGATGTCGGGTCGGCGCAAGAAATCCATCTCAGTAAATAAGAGCGCACATGAGACGTGAGTTCTTATTTCATTTAGTTCACTTGAAACACAGCCAATGTAAACACGTTTCACAATGCCGCAATGTGTATTTAAAAGTTGCAAGAATAATGCCCGAAAAAGTAATTTAATGGCCAGAGTGTCTTACTTTCGGTAATTACATGTATATTATGTTATATTTTAAGCTCTAAACTAACAAATAATATATCCTCGTCCTGCCCATTGTGATTTCAAAATCACAAAACATACTTCACCGTTCCTGCCCATCTTAAATATTGTAAAATTCTAAATTCTGCCCACTGTCCTTCAAAAATCACATATTCAAATTTCGTGCCTAGAATTTGTATTTGCTACTCAGCTGTCGTTTTTGAAGTTTCCTGTGATTGTTTAGGTTATAACCAATAAGTGAACCTTAAATGTATTCGAGTAATAGACAACAGATTAACGTCAGAAGCCATTCACGTGTTAAAGATAGAGTCACGTTGGAGAAGAGGTATGTTTAATCCTTTACTATCATTTAGATCGGTGGCTTTTCTTTATTAAAAATAAACGGGATTAAAGTTAAATAATCAATACTTTGACTTTCGTAACTATTTTTGATTTTCGTTAATAATTGTATTTTTAGTAAACATAAATAATATTATGTGATGCAAAAATCACATCGGGCAGAACTTTTTGGTAAATTGTGATTTTTTTCGCAGAATTGGACGATGAAGCCATCGGCAATTTATTAGAAGATCCGATATTGCGGACTTCATACCTTCCGATGATGATTTCGACGATCCGGAATTCGTATGACCAGAAAGCAGTATGAGTTCTACGGAGTAAGAAAGTGATGGACCTGATGTAAGTACATCATTTATACAAGCTCGCGGAAGGACTAGGCGAGGTACGCAGCGAGTTTCTTGTGGACGGTTAAGAGGAAGGTCGCGTGGGCGTACACGTAACAGCACTGGCAGCAGTATAGACTATATAGCATAGTATATACCGTCAACTACGGACTGGTCTCAGGACTTGGAGAAGATTTTTTAGAAGAAATCCTTCGAAACATAAACAATCAAGAAAGCTCTGATGATAGTGACCTACAAACTAACCAGAACATTCCATGAAGAAGGGGTAGACCAACTATTACTCTTCCAAATAAGAGCCGCCGCACTTCTCAGGCAAAACATATGCCTATATTGGAAGAGAAACAGTCCAGGTGCAGGTCCTGTCATTACAACAAAACACAATTTAAACGTAGTTCATGTCATATAAACTTGTGCTTAACTAAGCAAAGAAATTGCTTTGCTGATTTCCATTCCTAACTATTTTTAAATGGATTTAATTTTTTAAAGTTTATTAAAATTAAGAGAAGGTTTTGGTTTATTTTTATTTTTTGTTTGAATAGTTTAATTATTTTTAAGTCCAGAGAGGCTGCAATAAAAGTTAGTACTTTAATTACTAATTAAAGAGATGAAAATTCAAGACTGATTAAGAATACATAATAAATAACATAAAAAGTTACTCTTGTTTTATTTACACCGTTGTACCAAATGTCTTTTACGAAGGAAAAATAAAATACAGCTGATTTTGGTAATTATGCCCAGTGTACTGTAAAAAGAACAAAATTTATGATTTTAAAAATAGCGTAAATCGTTTCATTATATTCTATTTACTGCCATAAAAAAATATTAAAATTTTATATCTTATGCAAGACCTTTTTTTAATTATTCTGGGCAGGAAGCACTTGTAAGATTTTGTACTTTGAACAGAACAGTGGGCAGAATTACCAAACAGGTTCTAATTTGCTTGGGCAGGACTAAGAGGATATTTAAAACAAAATTACCGATCAAAACCATCCTTACAAATTTTTTGCCAATGTTGATCACGCGCAAACATTTGTGAAACAGAACATAGACGTATGAAGTAGATTTGTATAGTAATAATTTTTAATAATTCGTTACCAAAACCTTAAATAATGGTAATTGATACTTTTGTCTTTGTTTGTGTAATTCCAATAGGTACTTAGCTTTTTTATTTTCCTAGGATACTTCCCCGGTCGAGCCGACCCATTCGTGCTAAAACTATACTACTAATATAATTGCAGCATGGCTCTACGACGTTATATATATATATATATATATATATATATATATATATATATATATATATATATATATATATATATAATGTTTGATTTTATACAGCAATCGTTGACTTTCACATTTTAAAACCGTCTATGTCCATTTTAAGATTTTTAATAATATTAAATATAACCATTTTACCATTTGTATGTATATAAGTTTGTAGTATATATACATATATATATATATATATATATATATATATATATATATATATATATATATATATATATATATATATATATATATATATATATACTACTACAAACTTATATACATACAAAACTAAAATAGATATATATTGAATTAGTTAATTAAATGCAATCAATCATCAAAAAATCAACATAAAAATAATTTTAATTAAACTTATGATCATATTATAAAGTTATTTTAGTGTTCAACGCGACTCAATACTTCCTGGACCAAATTCGAAGAAGAAAATAGAAACGTAACGAAATGGCGTAGCTCGCAAGGCAATAACGGAAAAAAGTACTTTATTTGTTATACCTTAAGGTTGATTTCACACTAAATGTTATTTATCCTATGTCTTTTCATTTCCAAGTGGTAGGAGTATTGTATAGCTTTGTTCTTTCATTGTGACTAATGATCGTAAGATTTGTGACTTTATTACTAGATGCGATTGTTGTAATTAGGTTGAACTTAAAATTATTTTCTTTTTTTGTCTCATTCCATTAGTAAACAATTGTAGCTGTTTAAGTAAGTATATATTCACGCGAACAGTATTTTGCTATGGTTTTGTTCGTGACCCTTTATCTAGTTGGCATTGTTGATAAAAGGTCCGTACGAAAGCGCTAAATAAGGGTGGCGCCACTGTAGCTACAGTTGGCCCCTGTTAGCCTTTTTAACTTAAACTTAAATTTTTAAGTTTTCAAAATCACTATCAACGTATTTTACGGCGATTTATCATACCCTGTAGCTACTCGACGGATGTTGTGGAGAGTTTTTGAACTGTTATTTACTGCTTACAGATGGACACATTTTCAACTAGGTATTCTCCTATGGGAGATTGTCCTCCTTACCTCATAACATTTGTCACATTTGAGGGTTTTTGGCGGGAACTTGGCCGTAGACGGATTGTCGCTCCTGTTTTGTCACTTGAATAATGGTTTGAAGTGGATTTCGATTAGTAAAATTGATGTGATTTTATAAATTAAGTGTCTGCGCGAGTAAACTATTAAAGAAAACGACGAAACAAGTACTTTTATGTTGATATAAACCTCAAGTTATTTTGATCGCTTCGGCGCCTTATGAAATTGAGTGGCTGTCGTCATCAACTATCCACTGGGTTGAGCTGTCGTCAAAATCTCCCAAGGGCTTCGCACGGTGACGCATCAGCATATTGTGAAGAAAAAGAATATAAAAATGAAGATTCCAAAAGAAATGATAGGCTCAGAAGGGCTATAACCCAGAGCAGTAAATTCAGTTACGAAAAAAAATGTCACATTCTTCTTCTATTAATTATTATCTATGGTTAATTGTCAAACTGAAATGAAAGTGAGCTTTCACTAAATTTAATGAAAATGTTTAAAAATAAATAATTAATTTAAGAAAATTGTTATATTTAATGTTATTAAAAATCTTAAAATGGACATAGACGGTTTTAAAATGTGAAAGTCAACGATTGCTGTATAAAATCAAACATTCTACACAAAATGGATCAGTTTTTAACAACAACGACGAATAAATTGGTAATGCTACTTCATTTACTAATAATAAATAAAAATAATTTAATATTCAAAAATGCATATCGATTTATTATAATACATGAATCATAAGTCATTTCATCATCATCGTTACAGTCTACTGCTGAACGTAGGCCTCCCCTAAGGAATGCAACAAAGCACTGAGCCACTTTCCTGCATCGCTTACCAAGTTGTGACTCCATCTGTGGGTGATCTATCACAACTCAACTTTTCATTCTTTCTTTACCTTCGGTTGTTGGTTATTCGAGTTATACGTCAGGCCCATTGCTATGGATAGACCATTTATAATTTTTAGAATGGAAACGTGATTTTTAAGGAAATATCAACCATCAAAACCTTAACAAATTAACAACCATCTAAATATTTTAAAAAATCTTGTGATAGCAACCAGCATTGAACGCCTTGGATATGGTAGTGCTCGATAATCAATCATAAATAACATTCACCAAGCTCAGATCATCAGAAATAATTTTTTTGATTGTTACAGAAATCTAGCAACTACTCTGAGATAACAATTATATTAGGAAATGAAAGTTGTGATTTAGACTCCGCAGTGACTGCCCTTGTCTATGCAATGTTTCTTAGCTGGCAATATGATCAAATCAAATGTAAAGTTTGTACTAAGAGCCACCGTGATGAGAGCACATATAAGGAAAGCATATATGTACCAGTGTTAGATGTAGAACGAGAAGACTTTAGCTTGAAGACAGAAGTGGTATACTGCTTGAAGGATCATGGAATAAGTGAAGACAGTTTGGTGTTTAGGTTAGTTTCAGTTCTCAGTTGATTTAAAAAAAGAGAAGTTTCTCAAAATGACTGTATTTTTATAATTAAATTAAAAAGAAATTTTATATAATATATCAAATAATATAGCGGCAGCGTGGCTCTACCATATAGTGTTCATTGCTAGTTGGAGGGTATAGGTTTTGTGTTCATTAACATGAGCGGTGTAGCATGGGTTGCTGCCACTCAGGGATCCACTAGATTTAAAAAAAAACTTGAAATCGCTTAAAGTAGACTTTCTAGTCTTTGTATAATATTTATAAATGAATAAAACAATAAAATGTAAAAAATACATTTTGTTTGTGTTACTCATTTATAAATTAATTTAAAATAATATTTTAAAATAATACACGCTTGCTATGCTATGTCTATATCATAACAAGTGTGAATTATTTTCAAAACTTCACAATGCTATAGTATCCTTAATATTTTCATCAAAATTAATCAGTTATAGCTAGTTTCAGATTTTTTGGGATTTTTACTAGCATCATTTTAACACTCACTGTCCAGTTTTCAGACACAATACTAAAACAATAGCGAAGACCTATATGTAGTGCATGGTACAGCGATAGGGTTAAATTTAAGGCAGCAACCTGACTTTCATTCCCGAAGTGCCACCTGCCATAATCTGTGTCCAGGTGCAATGGGCTTCCTTTTCACAACAGTTAGTATAGGCCAATCATTCAAAATATGTTGCCAGTTGACATATACTTGAGCTCTTTTATACATTACTCAGTACTGAAACAGGAGGTAGCAGCATCCTCATGATAACCACTCAAAATAATGAAAAATGCAGGTGCCAACCTGCCTGCCAAGCATGGCTACTATGGCAAATATCATCCTATGAAGTTAGTCATAGGGTTGGCCCATGTTCAGTTGTCGACTTTTAGATGAGTTTAATGAATGAACATTCTTTTCAAAGCTTATATATGAATAATAATAGTAATGTCCTACAGACTGATTTTCGGTCACAGTGGCCAGCCTCAACGGAGACTAGTCATCGGCGCAGGACAGGATTATAGTGACCAAGTGTATGCGCTAGCACAGGCACTCTATTCCCTCACTCTTATAATCCAATGGGATGGTAAAACGACACAACCGGAGAGAGATCAGCCGCAGGACCTACGGCTTTACGTGTTTTCTGAGTGATAGGGGTGAGACTTTCTTGACGGTAAAACTCAATAATTGATTTTTTTGGCCCGACTCAGGATTTGAATCCAGGGCCACATGATCAGCAGTCCCACTACTAGAACCACTGGACCAACGAGGCAGTCATTCTATCTAGTAGTAGTATAATGATATACACTTTATTGGACAGTATTGCTCAGGTTATTACATGGAAGTCTACTGCTTGATATGGGCTTCTTCTATTGAAGGGTGGATTCCCCTCGATTTTTTTATATAGAATAACCGTGACAAACAAGCACACAGTCCACCTGATGGTGAGTGGTGAGCTGCTGTCCATGTAAATCTATATCTATCCTCGATTAAGAATCAAAATGCAGATGCGTTGTCACCCCTGAGGCCTAAAATGGAAGCCCTCTATTACAGTAAAAAGGCTCTCCAGTTCTTTACACTCACCATACAAAACTCAGCAAGATTAAGCTGCTATTTTACGCTGGTATTCTATGAGAGCATAGTTCTACCCTGGTCGAGTCGACTTATTCATACTTAAACCATATTATAGTTGAAATGTGGCTCTACTACATACAATCGATCAGGGTTGAGGATGCATCTATATCTTGATTCTTAATTGCAGATAGCACCTTACCATCAGGTAGACTGTATGCTCGTTTATCACTATGTTCAACAGTTGACTTATGAACAACTTTACCTTTTCAAAAATTATTAGTTATAAAATAATATATTAATTGGTTACAGGAATGACATAGACATAAAGAATCTCTTGGCATCTAGTACAAAGACTAATATAATTCTGGTGGACCATCACATCCTTAGTAAGAAGTATGACTTCCTTGCACCTTATGTGACGGAGATTATTGATCATAGACCGTTCGATAAGAAGGAATGGAATTACAAAGAAGATACAAGAAGTTTGATAGAGACGGTGGGCTCTTGTGCTACGTTGGTGGCTCAAAGGATGAAAGATTTGAGCGCCTTGATCGAGAAGAATTTCGATTTCTTTACTACCTATCCATCATGCACCAAGCTACTTCATTGTAAGGAAATACATATATTTATCAATGTAATGCTTTCTTAACTAATTTCAAAAAAGAAGGAAGTCCTAAATTTGACTGCATTATTACTGTTGTTTAATGTATTTTACATAATTATACAAATCGAACAAGGCAAGAGTGTATAGGCTTTTACTGCGCTTAGACCATGCAATTTACTGTTTATTACATCCACTACCCCATGTCATCCTATCGGTGTTGTAAAAGACGACAGAGGGAAAGAAATCAGAAGATGAGCAGCAGTGTCTTCCTAATGGCGAATAAAAATAAAAAACTGCGCTGCCAACCTGCTTGCCAAGCGTGGCAACTATAGCAAATATCCCCCCATGAAGCGATCTATGGGGAGGCTTATGTTCAGCAGTGAACTTTAATAGGCTATAACGGTACCACCAGACTTCTATGTATATTTGGTTAGTTAGTTTACGACAAGCTGTTTTCCGCAACTCCATACATGCCCTACAGAGGGGACTATCTGTAATACCTATGGTAAATAAATGTTTGTTAAAGGAGCCATGTCTTGTGATAGCACTTGTTACTATCCTGATCTGTGGCTTGTTCAGTCTCATTAGAACCTTGGTTAAATAACTGTTTATTTCAGGCAGGGCCTCCCTAGCTTGTCTACAGTCAACTAGATTTTTCCAAAGCGGAGTGTGTAGATTAGTGAAGTTTGTATATACCAGTGAATCAACATTACCAAAGCATATTGGTATTATTGGTTCTGGCCCTATAGTGGCCAGAGCCAATCCTCTTCTGGCCAGTTTGTCTGCTGCCTCTGGATCCACTGTGTCCCTTTATCCATTGCAGTCATATTGTTGTGTTTACATATCTCATTTAATCTTTGATGGCTTTCATATATTAGTCCCGAGTTCACAACATTGCAATTCCGAGCTTGTAATACCACCATACTGTCGGTCAGTTTTCTGATGGAGAAGTCTTTTACCTTCCTAACATCTATTGCTATGGCCGTTTGGATGATAACCATACATTTCACCTGAAAGACAGTTATGAGTACCTAGCAGTATACATATGTGGATATTACATATGTATGTGTACATATGTGGTCTTCAGACAAAGTTCCAGATCCTACACCTTTATTTGATTTAGAACCATCCGTGAGGATCTAAGCTCTTTTGGGCTTAACTGGACGTTTTCATTTAATTGTATTTTATACTCCTTATCCAATACAAATTGTTTTGGGATGGTAATCGTACTTGGCTTGTAAAATAGGAATTTTTGAGTAAATTCTATCAATTATATATACCTACTCTTACTCCAAATATTTAGGATCTTGAGTCTAATGGCAGCTAAAGTAAGCTAAGTAAAGCTTCTTGTTGTATGTGTAGATGAAGCGGTGTTAGCTCCAGCAGAGCCTCTAAAGCTGCTGTTGGTGTAGTTCTTATGCAGCCTGTGGCAGACATACATGCCAGTCTCTGGTAATGCTGAAGCTTCTTTATAGTAGTGGCTTCATTTGTTTTGGTCCTCCACCATACCAGAGCGCCGTATGTTCTATGTATATTACTAGATGGGCTCTGCAGTCTTAATACATTGCGCTAAGTTACGATCAATTTTCCATGACTGAGACTAGTTCTTTGTTTTGGAAACCGCGAACTTTGTTTTCGGCAATCTAACACTGATTTTGTTTAATGTTGAAGAAAACGAAGACACACACTTATATATAAAATCACAATGTGATTTGAAGTTAATTTCAGATAAGTATGTGACTTTGTTTCGTATATAGAAAACAGTAATTGCCGTTAATGAGAACACATCTGCGTGGCATATTTACCGTGCCAGCTACGCGCCCGCGCCTGCGTGACTCATAGCTGTGACACGGTTTTTGTACTGAACTACCAGTGTGCTAGTACACATAGAAGTCTTTGTTCATAAAACATACAAGGCAATGTACTGCAAGTGGACTCATTTTGATGTCAACATAGTTATCGTATAGGCCTGCAAGTGATTTTGTAGTCAAACAAGCACTGTTTGATAATTAGAAGAGATAAAAAAAAAATCACATTAGTCCCATATAAAATTAACCCAAATCCAATGATCTCAAATAAGGTCATAATGGAGCATGTCAGAACCTGTAATGCCAGCGTGTTGTGTATTAATACCTCTTAAACTTGGGTGTCTTATTACCATGTTTTTTTATGTGGTAGAGCCACACTGCAACTACTCGTATATTATGGTTGTAGCACGAATGGGTCGGCTCGACCGGGGAAGGACCACACTCTCAAAGAATACCGTCGTAAAATAACACCTTAATATTGCTGTGGTTCGTACGGTGAGTGTAGAGATCCGGAGACCCTTTTTTACTGGAAATGAGGCATTGGGATAAAAATCTACCTGCATTTTGATTCTTAATCGAGGATAAATGTAGATGTCTATGGCCCACAGCATTAATTTACCATCAGGTGGACTGTGTGTTCGTTGAAGTACGAAAGGGTTGGCTTGACCAGGGAAGGACCAGACTCACAGAATACGAGCATGTAATAGCAAATAAATAGTGGTATGTTAGAGATGTCTATGGAAAATAAGGTATATTACAGGTCAGACTACGATTAAAACTAAGACTGCTTTTTGTTGTGTTTTGGAGCTACCTGAAATATGTGGTCTATGCAGACGAACCACAAACAGCCATGAAGGACAACATGCGTTCTTCATGAAATAGAGCCCTATTTATGCAAAGATGTCGTCCAAAATTAGTCCACCAAGATACACCACCTACAGCGGAAACGCGGTGGCCATTTGATATCTCTAACATAACAGCATTTAGTTACTAGATGGGACATCACAGGACCCTATTAGCTGAAAATAGGGCTCCTAGTTCTCAATGATGAAAATGCCTGTGCGATTTGATTACTTAGTCGAGGATAGATGTTGATATTTATGAACAACAGCATCCATTTACCATTAGATGGACTTTGTGCTCGTTTGTCATTTTTATTCTAAAAAAACATCTGACTGTACAAAATAAACTAACAAAAGTCTAACCATGTACCGCCGATTTACTTTGATATCGTGTTCGAACCGTGCCCGTCGCAGGTAATTGATCCTACGTACTTATACATGGTGTAACAAAATAGAAAAATAATGACAAATAATTAGGATATTAATATCCATGTGCTCCCGAGTATCTATATTATATATTACATACAGTGTTATGTTATTGTAAAATAACCCTGTATGTAAGATATGGACTTTGTGGTTATACTTTTTCAGGTGCAATAATATTGGACACAGTAAACTTTTCAAAGGATATAAACAAGGGAACACCTCATGATAAAGAAATAGTGGAGTTCCTTGAGAGTATACTAAAGCTAGAAGACCGGGAAGCCGAGAGGTGAGTTCTTGTGTGAGGGTGTATTCACAAGCTAATTTACTATAAGTGTAAGTTTTAATAAATAAAGTTAGAATCTTATAATTTTTATTAGGGTCTACTTACACATACCACAACCACAACACGTGGGCGGGCGCTTTTTGTATTGAAAATGAATAATGTCCTCCAGACCGAATTTCGGCAACGGCGGCCTGCGTCAACGGAGGCTAGCCATCGGCGCAGGACTGGATTATAGTGCCCAAGTGTATGCGCAAGCACAGGTGCACTATCTATTCCCTCACTCTCATAATCCGATGGGCCGGTAAACCGACACGACCGGAGAGAGATCAGGTGCAGGACCAACGGCTTTACGTGATTTCCGAGACACGGGGGTGAGACACCGCCAACTTCCTAACTCCGGGCAACTACTGAGAATTTCTTGACGGAAAAACTCAATAATTAATAATTGGGCACGACCCGGGATTCGAACCCAGGACCTCATGATCAGCAGTCGCACTACTACAACCACTAGACCAGAATGAAGAGTCATTGGAAATGAACAGTACAATTTACACGTACCACATTTTGCCGTCATTATCGACTGCGTGACTGATACTGACCACAACGCAACCACGACGCAACCACTACGGAACCACACGGAACTAGCGGCCGGCCACATCGCAAACACAACATTGCGTCGACGCAACAACTATGATTACAACGCAACTGTAAAAATCTGCAGCGACCCTATTCACACGTGAACACATTGCTGCTGCGTGTGGGCCGACCCTTATATATGTTAATAATTTTTATTTAATTTAGATTACTATAAAATACATATTGAAAGTATTTTTATTTAAATATAATATATTTTTTGTTAACAATAGAAATCACATTATTTTGAGTTTTTGATTATTACATTATTTTGAGTTGTTATTAGGAAATGCTGCTAAACATCTCTTTTTCCCGACACCCTCGGGACGATATGGAGTAGTGGATATTTTTATACTGCCACTGCACAGTTGCCAACCCGAAATTTCTCTATGATACTTGATATTTTTCTTTGTTATAATGTATGTGCCAAATAAACGTATTTCTACACTTACTTCTTTCTATACATATTTATTTATTTCTTACAATATGGGGGAACCCGGTTTGCTCGCGTATTGTGAAATTTACAGCGAGCGCTAACCATCTGAGCTACTACGGCTCCCCGCCGGCACCAATGAAATTGTTAATTGCAATTTTAAGTACTGATTTACCACGTGCTCGGCGGTGAAGGAAAACATCGTGAGGAAACCTGCATGTCTGATAAATAAGAAAAAAAAAATATTTCGAAGACATGTGAAGTTCGCCAACACGCACTGGGGCAGCGCGGCGGACATTTCCTTGCCCTAAAACCCTCTCAGAAATGAGAGGAGGCCTGTGCCCAGCAGTGGGACGTATATAGGCTGTAACTTTACTTTACTTTACTTTAATATGGGGAGGCAACAGTGGACTTTCAATAGACTGTAATCAACATTAGGGGACGAATAGCATTAAAGGTACATATCTAGCACTGCGAACGTGATCCACCTTCAATGATGTGGTCACCTTGGGTGACAATTAAAGTTAGTTACAACCTATAGTACAATACACCCTATACGTGCCACTGCTGGGCACAGGCCTCCTCTCATTTCTGAGAGGGTTTTAGGGCGCAAGTAAATGTCCGCCGCGCTGTCCCAATGCGTGTTGGCGAACTTCACATGTCTTAGAAATATTTTTTTTATTTCTCAGACCTGCAGGTTTCTTCACGATGTTGTCCTGTCGTAGTATTTTCATTCGACGAGGAAACAGCCTCAAGTCGTAGCCATTCGAGTTCGGCGTCATCATATATTTTTGAGCGCACGATGTACCGAACTCTGTCTGCCAGGTTTTGCTCGGTGACGGTAATAGATGGCTCCAGCTCAGCAAAAAGTCGATGCATCCTATCCCCGTACGCAAAACCTCCAACTTTTCCCCCTTTCGCCCTAAAATACGCCCGCAATGCGTTTAAATTCATTTTCTTCGTCCAACGCATGCGCGTTCAACAGTGGCGGGTGCCGTTTGCTGAGTCCGGGAGGACCCTGGCGACACCGAGTCATCTGATGGATATGAGGCAACCATTATTATTATTTTTTGGGGTATCTATATAGTTTTCTCATCTGATTGGGTTCCATAAATATATAATTGTGAATGAAAATGATAAATATACATAAATAACAATAAAATAAAATAAATACATAAATAAATAAAAGCCATACCAGATGGAGGCCCTCGGCAGGGAAGACCAAACGGCCGATGGTTAGGGCGAAAGGGAAAGAAACCGGCGGACGATGCGGGCAGTATCAAGGAGCACCGCCTTCTGCATTTGAGCCTGGAGCGGTCCGTCACGGAGTCCCAGCCGCCTCAGATGACCCGAGAGGCTAACTGGGATTAGCCCGTTTGCAGAAACGACTACAGGAATAATTTTAGTCGGCAGACCACCCCACATGTCGGTCACCTCGTGAGCCAGGTCCAGATATTTTGTTCGCTTATCTGTTACGGCTTTCACGAGGTTCTCGTCATACGGAATGGTAATGACTCGACCAAAAATATCCTTGACTGTGCCCGGTCCATCAGCACAATATAAGGCTTATTCGCAAGAATAGTCCTGTCTGTGATGATGGCCCGGTCCCAGTAGAGCCTGGCGCGATCATTTTCGAGGCTTCCGGCAAGTACTTGTCATACGGCAATTTCCGGTCCACGAGACCGTATTTCAGAGCCAGCTCCTGGTGAAAAATTCTGGCTACTAGGTTGTGCCTGTGCAAGTACTTGAAGACAGAGTTAGAAAGCGCCGAACAACTGGAGATGACTTGAGTGACTCACCGAGATGGCGCCAAGCTCGACAGATGTCGACGGTGCCATCATTTAGGATGTATCTCCGATAGTTGTTGGTCTTAATAACCTGATTGAGGAAATCATTATTATTTTGGGGTATGAGTAGTGTATTCTCATCTGGTTGGGATTAATAAATATATTAAAGGAAATGATAAATCAATATCATTATTATTATTCAACAGCTGCGTTATGCAAAATGTTCTATTTTTCCAGGAAATCCATATTAGACAGGTTATTAAATGCAAGGTGTGATGTGTCTCCGCTGACCGCATCACAACTAATGCGGAAGGACGTGAAGATTGTTGGCGACGTTCTTGTGCCAAGTTTCCCTATACCAGTGAAGGTGAGTAGAATTATTATTATTATGGTATTAGTTCATTGGTTAGTATGGTATTACTTCTTTAAACTTTTCTGAAAAGCCTGAATACCTTCAAGTTAAGATAATTAGCTTAAATACAAAAATATACCTAGGTTAGACAACGAATCTTAAGGTTTTGGCGACGTGTAATATTTGTCTTTTTGAATATGTTTATGGAACGGCATATGCGCCGATGCGATGTTCGTGTCGGTTGAGGTCGTCAATGATCAGCACTATTCGTACTGCCTTCGTAGCCGTCCGGGCGCCATTATTTTTCCCAGCCAGTAACCCCGTATAAATAATAAACTATATCGGGCATAGATGAGCCACTCTGACAAATTATTAGGTGATGAAACTTCCCTCAAGTTTCTTCTGTGCTGTAATAGACGTTGGGATTACAAATTAACGAAATACACTAGAAGGCCACTATCAACTTGATTCAGTATTATTTCGTACATTTTAATAAATCGTAGAAAATGATTATAAATTAGTAATTAACTAATTAGCTATACCATATAACTTAATATTTATTCGGTGAAAATTATTTTATATATATGCCGCAATATTTGAAAACATCGATAGCGTGATTTAGGCTTCAGTATAAATAATAAATATTAACAGTAGTGCCATCTTTTGAGTAAAATGTGTAATAGTTGCAGGTAAAATAGTGCTTTTAATGACTGTTAGATGGTGCTAGTAACAACTACTGAGGACTTTCAGACGCCTGTAGTCTGCAGTACCCATAGAGTAGAGTATATACCGAAATAGAGAGCCATCTTCTGGGATTTTATGTCAACCAATATGAATAGTGACAAAACAACGACTTGCTCAAACGCCGGTAGCCATATGTCATAAAGTTGCCACTTGCCAGTTCGAGAAACTTGTTGCATTTCAGACCGACAAAAAAAAATTATATATTTATTCAATATATTTTTTAATTAGGCAAAAGCTTTTGAATGTCCGTATAATTATTAACTCTTTATTAATATTATGTTACAACTTTAGAGAATTCCATTAAATTCTATACCCAATAACCAGAATTGGTGTAGTCGCCATCTAGCGCAACTTTTAGAATTTAATGTTCGAAAGTTTATGCGGATTTCGTGTAATATGGCACTAGTGTATGCAAATTATTGGACCCCAACCTAAAGAATGGAAGTGTACCCCCCTGGCAGTACCCCAGGGGGGGGGTATACTTCCATTCTTTAGGTTGGGGTCAGTGGCGAAGATAGGGCTCCAAACTGGGGCAAGCCCATATGGTTTTGTTTTTTTAGCAGTTTTAAAAATACATCAATCTTGTTCTGTCTCCACTCTTGAGTTTCATATTCAGTTCTGTCGAGGACGTGTTTAACAAAGCACACAGAAGGCATACTACCGCTAGATAGGTTGTATGACCGTAGAATCAATCAATTTTCGTTCGATAAAATGACTTCACCTATAGAATTAAGTAGATGGCGCTATTAAAATTTTATATACTGAAGACTAAAGGAAATATGTTTTAAAAATCTCAATACATGATGTATTCATTTTTTTTTTACAAAAGATTGAAACAATTATTTGCTACAATATTAAACTTATACCTAGGTATCTCACATTTTATGCCTACAGTTCAAAATGATATTTTTAACTCATATGGTAATATAAGTATTGAGTTATTAAACCCTTAAATACGCCTAGAATAATTAAACTTTAATACTAAAGAGCCCTGTACCTATTAAAGTGTGAAGAAATGTTTATTGAGTTAAAATTTTATTTTTAAAAATTTTACCTTTTCCTCGCTGATTAGCACTTGTAACACATTTATATTCATCACAAAGAACACTCTTTTCCTCCATTTTCACTAAAAATCTTTAAAAAAGTATAAATTTTCACCTCACAATATTTTACATTATAATATACTCGCTCATGCTAACACAGTAACACACAATGTGAACATTGAAATGTGACGTGAACTTGCAAACATATCGTCGGCGTCGCCCGCGCGCCTCCGTGTCTCGACTAACTTCATACCTAACGTGACCATACGTTCCCCTTTAGGTAGGACGTTCGCGATTTCAAGGTTTGTGTCGCGCTGTCCCCAAAATACGTAAAAATGTCCCACTTTGACAAACAAAAGCGTGACAATCATGCAAACTCTGTCACCCGTGCCATCATTGTGAAACCGCGCGAACCAGGTTTGCCAGCGTGGCTTGTATAGTTACGTGATTATTCTGAAAAGCTACACTTTTGAATTTAAAGTTACGTAGTGACAATTTTTAATTAATCTACAATAAATTATCAAATAACGTAAGTTATTTCCAATTAGTATTTATTTGATGTTCAGAATTCACTTTAGACCATTAAAAGATTGAAACGACTATGTGTTTTATTTATAAACCTATATGAAAGGGCATCAGATTGAATTTTGGTAACAAGGCCATTCTCAACGGAAAATAGCCATCTGCGCATCTGGATTATATTGCCCCGGTGTGAATACTACTGCTACTGAGAATTTTGTGACAGAAAAACCCAATAAATGATTCTTGTCCCCTTGGGACCACATGATCAGCAATTGCGTTCACGACCATTAGACCAAGAGGGCAGTCAAAAGTGTTAAAACTATAATAATTTTAAAGGCATCATGCTCTGAGGAAAAAATTGATGGTCACTAAAAAGTCGGACTTTTTATCTCCGTACTAATTTATACAATCGTAGTTATGTTTCATTATAGAACATTTTGCCACAGGTTAGAAAGGGAGCGGTCGCCTTCTCGAAAGCCCGGTAAAAAGCCCACGCGTGCGAGAGAGACAACCAATGGCTCAATTCAACTCTCCTTATAAGTATGACAGCAGTATTCGTAAGGCTACAAGGTCGAACAGAGAGTTATTTTATAGTTGGGGTCCAATAATTTGCAAAGACACTAGTGCCATCTTATTTATGCAACATTTATATAAATTTGTAAAACTTATATAATACTAAGTCAATGTATAAAAATACAAAAGTATAATAAAAATATTCGTCTCCACTTCTTGCCTTGTCCTACCGACAAACTTTGAACATAAAATTTTATTGCTTTTTAGACATTGTTTTTTGAAAACAACTTTTAATCATGCACGTAAGGTTGAATTTGCAAAAATATATGTTTATATCATAACTATAACTACTGATGTACAATTGGCGACAGTTTTGAATGTTACTTTTGTTAGAGACTGTGCATCTTGGGTTTTTTGTATATCAATGGAGTAAGAGTAAAAATATATATACTTGGACGAGTGAAGACCATTTTATTTGCCTAGAATCCATCCCGCAGGTCTATTAACATTGTCTATCAAAGGTCACAAGATTTCTCTGCCAGTTTCCTCTTACAAACGCTCTCTGAATTTTTTTTAATTTTTTCTTAGAAAGAGTGTACATTATTTACATTTTAATTTTTTCCAAACTGTAAGCCAGATTGTCGGCAACGCAACAATTTATCGTTTCACACTCCTTAATAACAATATCTGGTACTTATAAATACTTAAATTAACACAAAAATAATTAAAGAAACATTCACCACTGTGGACACAACGACAGATAATGCTTTCTCAAGATGGATTTGAACTGCGTACTTAGTTACGCTTTCGTCATATATATCCAAAGTAATTTTCAACCCTAGGTATGAGATATTTCCTCCTTTGTGTAATTTGGCGCTTCGCCATTATATGTCTTAAGTTTCTTAAATGTTACCATACCATGCTGTTCTAATATGATGATGGATTTTACCATAGAATACTATTATACACAACAGAATGGTTGTCAACCTTATTTTGTACGACGGTAGGCGTCGCCGGGAGCACACATACAAGCGATTACGTCGTATTATCAGTTAGTCACTACTACAAACCCGATTCGCTGGACTGATTTTAATACATATTTAATTGTAAATAGCGTGCAATTTGGCACTTTCTAAATAATTTGCATGCGAAATCTGGAAACGTATGAATTGACGTGTTAGTGGCATTTTAGTGGCTACACGGGCTCCGCCCACTCCCTGTTCTATTATGTATGTATTATAGTATTCTATGGATTTTACTTTCATGTCTATGGGAATAATTTGGAAATTTTAAATCACATTTCATAATTTTTGTCTAGAGCATTTTTCGTTTTAGAATTATCTAATATCTTTAAGAATCTTATCTTTCTGATTAAATGGGATAGTGGATTCATTAATACCTATACAAATTCAACACATCCTCATCTCAAATCACTTTCAGGAATTTCTAAAGAAGCCTGGAGCCCTCCAAGCCGTTAGTGAAGCTCTGCAGCGTTGTAAATGCAGCATTGGACTACTTTTAGGCATGAGGCTGTCTCCAGTGCATCTGAAAGATGTGGCTGTTTATGGACCTGGAGTCAGTGAGAAAGCGGCTAAGGTGATATGCACATTTTATTTTATTGTCTTTGTCAGTAATTCATTCTTGGGGCAATGTACACTCTATTACAACAAAGTCCAATAAGAATTAACTCCGTCTTGCAAAGTATTTAAATTAAGATAGTGTCCTTTAATATAGTCAAAACTGCAAATATTACAAAACCATGCGTATATTTTACAACAATAACGTCACATTGCGATATATTATTACTAAACATTATATTTTAAATTGCTATACCGACATAGCTATACAAAATAACTCTATGTTGTTAAAATATTTAATTTTAATTTTTTGGAAATAACCAAGTTTAAATATTTAATTAAACAAACACTATAAAAAGGTTTAATTATAATATAAATGAATACATGGTTGATAATAACACCTGGGAAGGAGGTGGTCGCTTTCAAGCTGTTTCTAAAATAAATTTTGTTGATATTTTGTAACCATTTACATCGTAAAATTTATTTATAAAAAGGCCCGCTGAGTTTCTTGCTGGATTTTACCAAGACAGAGGTTTTTTTTCCGAACCAGTGGTAAAGTAAAAAATACTTTCAATAGAAATAACATGTAAAATTTATATTGAATAAAAATTATTCTATACTATTCTATTTAGTGCTTTTTTTCATCACCAATTTTGTAATCTAAATTGGCCTTAGAGATGACTAATAATCCACTCACAAGATGTCACCAGTTGACACTAAGTTGAAGTTTTTTTTTTACATAATATTTAATTGAGAAGTAGGTTTCAAATAAAACTTTATCAGTTTTTAGGGTTTGCTCTTTAATTTTTTGAAAATTTTTAAACTCTTTCTTAATTTTTTCTACTTTTATGAGTATCTGCGGTTTGGTTTATTTATTTTTAATCTAATTAATATAAAATACAACAAATAGTACGGAAAGAAACATTAACCTTTATATTTTTCCAACAAATTAACTACTCCACTATGAAATATGTCAAATATTACACCTTTATATGTGGTGCCATGCTCCAGCTATATTAATGTATTTGTAGCATGAATGTATTAGCTCGACCGGAGTGTCGCCCCTGAGGACTAAGATGGAATGCCTCGTTTATAGTAAAAAAGCGTATCCGGATATCAACACTCATCATACGAAACACAGCAGCATCAAGCTCCTATTTTAAGCTGGTATTCTGTGAGATCGTGGTCCATACCCGGTCGAGCACATTCATACTACAAATACATAAATGTAGCTGGAGCATGGCTCTACTACGTATAAAGATGTAATATTTGACAGATTTCATAGTGAAGTAGTTAATTCGTTCGAATAATATAAAGGTTAATGTTTCTTTCTGTACTATTTGTTGTATTTTATATTAATTAGATTAAAAATAAATAAACCAAACCGCAGATATTCATAAAAGTAGAAAAATTTAAGAAAGAGTTTAAAAATTTGCAAAAAATTAAAGAGCAAACCACCTGAGACTTTGTTTTGTGTATTGATGTTACTCTGTAAACTAATAGACCTACTTCTCAATTCAATGACATTGTGTAACAAAAAACTTCAACTTAGTATCAACTGGTGACATCTTGTGAGTGGATTATTAGCCATCTCTAAGGCCAATTTAGCAATAATAAAAAAAATACACTAAATAGAATAGTACAGAATAATTTTTTATTCAATATAGATTTTACATGTTATTCTTATTGAAAGTATTTTTTTTTTACTTTACCATTGATTTGGAAAAACCTCTGTCCTGGGAGGATCCGGCAAGAAACTCAGCGGGACTTTTTTATAAATAAATTTTACGATGTGAATGTTAACAAAATGTTTACAAAATGTATGTATGTAACGGTAATGAGGAAGTTTGATAGATTGTCCTACATCGACACAACACGGCAATGCGTGCTTCCACAAATTTTTCTGACACCAGGGCGGCGCCGCTATGAAATGTGGTGAAATATTTGACAGATTTCATGGTGAGGAAATTAAATTTTAGTAAGAAAAGGTTATTTTTACATTTTATACAAATTAAATTAGGAATGGATAAACCAAACTACAGTGGACCCCCGGTAATCCAGCCCTTGTCTAATCCGGCACCCCCTGTAATCCGACATGGTATATTGTTTATTATTGAATGATTAAAAATATTTATAAATGAATATTTTCATGCCTCCTAAATTGATTGATTCATAATTTTTGAGTATTTTAGTATGTACATTTGTTTGTACACAATTATTTCCTACGGTAACGTTATTGCATATTTTTTGTGAGTTAGTTTTATAATAAATCTTAAGCTCTGTATTGTGTTGTTTAATTTACTAAATTTCATACAAACAATACAAATTGAAGTATGTTTTGTACTTCAGAGTGCATATATATACATATATAATATATAGAATCTTAAATTGGATCTGTAATTTGTCGGATTACAAGGTACTCTTTTGTAAAAAATTCCGGACTTTAGGGATTTTTAGGCAATACTCCATAATCCGACAAATTCGATAGTTCGACACTGAACTGCAAAATTTTTGTCGGATTAGGGGTCCACATTTATATACCTTAATTTAGAAGAAGGAAGAAGAAAGTATATACACTAAAAATTGGAAAAGTTTTATTAAAAACACAACTTTTCAACGAAGAATGATGACGTTTTAGGAACTTTCTAGAAAAGAGCTTACTTAAAGGACCGGCAACTAAACATCCGTCATTTATTAAATTTTTGTGACCCGATCATTCAAGTATTGATTCGTTTTACGAACGGGACATTCGGGTCAATCATTGAAATGCATTATTTCGAGTTTCATTACTCTGTGATAGACAAGTCATTCATTCGTGTGATCTGTGAAATCCAAAATAAAGAACTATAATGGCGGTCGTTGGACAGTGCTATAACTATGAAGTGTAGAAGTAAGGAGTACCAACTCCCATACTAGAATAGTTGAAGAAGTGGCCATCTATAAGCAGTAAATAACAGTTCAAAAATTCTCCACAACGGCGCTGGAGTAGCTACTGGGATGAAATGAACTTAGCAGTTGTCGACGGTTTAAGTGTGCTACTAAACTGCTCAGTAGCTCTAAAATGAAAAATAATTTTATTTAGTAAATATAACCTCGAAAAAGTCGTCTATCCCACTAATATTTTTCGGCACGTTCTTTAAGATTTAGCCCGTAGCTATAGTGGCGCCACCCTTATTTAACGGTTTTCTATGGACACATTTTAATACAGAGTCTGTACTCCTTACTTCTACACTCCATAGCTATAACTCTGGTCATAGGTCCCATCGTAGACAGAGAAACCTATAGACAAATTGACGCCTTCTTTCGCAATCGCACACGAAAAAGATAGATTTATGCATAAGTCTTGCATAGAAGTGAGACGGAGCGGTGTGATTGTTTGTCCCTTTCTCTGTGCTGGTTTTTTCGTTTAGCAAACTACACTTTGCTAAACAACTTTGACAGTTCGTAGCGGTTTAAGGAGTTTATAAGTTGGTTTAAGTGAGAAAAAAGTGTTTTGTGAGGATTTACCTTGTTCAGTTCAGTTCTTAGAACAATTAAAATTTTTATCTAAATGTGTTTAAAAGTTATAAAGATTATTGTATAAACGTTATCGTCATTTTCTCACTCGATGCCACGCTAATCATTAGTCTATAGGTTTCTCTGTCTACGGGTCCTGTCAATAGTTTGATCCGGATCGTGCTAAAAATGTGATCGCAATCATCAATACTTTAATGTGACCCGGGTCAAATAAACGAATAATTCACGATTGACGCATGTCTACCGGCAACGCATCCGCAACTCCCATGGAGTTGCAGTTGTTCATGGGCGTCGGTAGTCATTTACATTCAGGTGACCCGCATGGTCGTTTGCCACCCTCCTATATTTATAAAAAAAAAAACACTGACAATTACTTCACCTCAGTCCCAACCAATTTAATTCACAGCTGGCAAAGTATCTCCAGGACTGGGGCAGTCCATCATTCCAGTTGTCGCCTGAAGATCCGGGAGCAGGTTGTGATGGCTGTTTCTACTACCACCAGTTGTACTCCCCAGCGACGAGGAAACAGTATATACCAGTTGTGGTAGAGTTTTTACAGAGTTATATGGAATAAATTGTTTGTTTTTATACTTTTTGTTTTATTCAACGTCATATAGTCATATATTATATTCCAAATTGGCTTTTACAAAGTACTTAATAATTAGAGCTATATTATAGTTGTAGCACATAGATCAGCTCGACCGGGGAAGGACCACGCTCTCACAGAATACCAGCGTATAAATAGCAGCTTAATGCTGCTGTGTTTAGTATGGAGAGATCCGGGACTTTTTTTACTGGAAACGAGGCATTCAATCTTAGTCCTGATTAGTGAGAAAGCATCTGAATTTTAATTCTTAATCGAGGATAAAGTTAGACATCTATGGGCCACAGCGTAAACTTACCATCAGGCAGCACACAGTCGCTCGTTTGTCACCCTTATTCTATAAAAAAAAGACTAATGTCTCAGTTGCTACTGTACGACGCATCGCAACACCAGATTTTATGGAAAGCATATCACCTCTTCCTTCTTCTTAATAAAATAATCAATTCTAACCACCAGGTATACATTAAATACTTTATAGTAGATAATAAAATAACGGACACGAATATCTGCAACATTACTGTATCAAAGTAAAAGTTGATATGTTCGAATAAACATTTTCATAAAAGTCGGCGAAAATATTCAATTACGAATTGAATATTTTCGGCGAAAATATTCAATTCGTAATTGAAAATAAAGGTACCCAATAATTTTGCCCGACAGTGTACCTAACTCCCACCACAGTTTATCTGTGTTCACGACTCGTGTCGGCAACTATACAAGTAGATGAATTTAGTTAAAATAATATACAAATTTTCTTTGCGGTATTGGTGAGGAAATAATCGTGCTCCGTATTTTTTTAATTTTTGACAAAAAGAACATTAAAAAATGGTGAAATATTGTATTGTGCGTGGATGTGCAAGTGGTTTAGCATCTGATTGAAAAAATAGACTGAAAATGAATTTTACTGAGACAACTTAGCGATCGCAGCGCCTCACTTATTTTCACCATATTTCTATTGCACTATTTTCTACAGCGATCGTTCACCTTCTCTCTAACCTCCATGGTTGATGCGATCAAAAACAAAAAATTTCCACCATTGACTTATATATTACTAGCGTAAGGACCGGGCCGACCGAACAACTAAAACGGACCAATGGATTGGCCCTAAAATTACAGTCTACGGCCAACGCGAATCGCGAATCGTGGTGCGCGCGCAGGACAGATTTGCCTGTCACAAATATGTCTAGTTGCGTAGTAAAAGAATGCAAAAATTACGATACAAAGGTAAAAAACAAACATGGGATATCGTATCATCGGTAAAATAACCTTATATTAATTTTGTTACAATTAAATGATTATATAAACGCATTTTTAGCCTTATTTTACAGTTAGTTTAGTTACGTTACCAAGATTAGGCCAGGGTTGGATTCAGACCCTCAAAAATATTGTACATGGAAAATAAAATTATACTATTTAAAAAAAATTATATCACGTTTGACGTTTCATAATTGTTTTTCTCATGTGCCGTGATTTTGGTGTCACGCGTTTAGTTTATCTATATGTTTCTATTTTTGACGGTTTTATTTTTATTTCTGTTTAATTTTTGTCTAAAGAACTTAGTATAAGTTAAATTTTGAATATTAGTACCTAATATATTTTATATTCAATAAGGGTAAAACAAAAAGAGTACAAAAGAAAAGGATCGATCGATGATCGATTGATGAAAAAGGGAGCTAATTCTAATATTATTAAAAAACGCGGTACTCGTGTACAATACAGAAATTCTCGATATCGTAGGGTTAATAAAAAATATTAAAATTTAAAAGGACCCAATAATTATACAAGTCGACCTATAGGTAAAATTATGATATTTTCGCTTAGTATTATTACAGTAAGATACTCGTGTACTACAAACTATGAAGTAATGGTACAATTAGAATAATTATACTACAAAATCCGACCCTGGTTACGTCGTGTTTTGATATGACGTTTGTATTATGACAGATGCGCTACTTTTTCTTGTATGAAAAATTTATGAGTAAAATATTTAGATAGGCCTATCCTTCCTTTTGAAATCTTTGATTTCCACACCTCACATATACAGGCAGACAGTCGATGGCAATAGAATCTCGTAATGCCTAAGCGGGGAAAATATATTGAGGTTTATATCGCCGTCGGGGTACTTGTTTTATCGTTCGCACTAATAGTTCACATGAGCAGACGGTAAATACACAAATCGCGCCATTTTACGTACCGGATTCAATGTGGTTAATTTTCTGCCAAAACTCGGGAAGCATATTAGTATAAGACTATAGAGTTGAATAATATACACAGGCGCAAATTGTATGAAAAAAACTCTTACGTAAATGCTATAAAGGTGTATAACAAAATACCCAACGACTTTAAAGAGTTACCTTTAACCATGTTTAAAAAAAAGTTGATACAATGGTTAAAAGAAAAATGTTTTTAAGACCTAAATAAATTTATGTCTTTTTGTGGAAAATAAATCTGAAGTCAGTAATATTGATATATATCTAATAATTAATTAATTACAAACAAACTGAAAGTATGGACATTAACAATTAAGAACAATCATTACACAACGTGACATTTTAGAACCTATTACTTAAATGACATGATATTGGTATCAATTAATCATAAATGTACGAAATTGAATTCCCACTTGTTGTTTAATTTTCTTGCATGTATACTTATAAAATATTTGCACACCATATAAAGTGGTAGAATGTAAATGGGCCATTATACATAATTTAAGATCAAACTTTATTGTACACATACATTCTGGCAAATAAATGAATTTGAATTTGGATTTACAGACTAATGCCCAAATACTCAAACGATCCTAAATTTTAAGATGCCTTGTGCTATCTCTATCATTTTAAGTCAAAGTGACTGACACAACGAGACTTACGACATCTTTAAATCGTAGACAGAGAAACCTATAGACTAATGATTAGCGTGGCCTCGAGTGAAAAAGCACGATGACTACAGTTTTAGGTTATACAATAATCTTTATGACTTTTAAACATATTTAGAAAAAATTTAAACGTATATTTATATAGTTCTACAAGATTCATCAATCTTAAGCTCACTAACACTTTTTTTCTCACTTAAACCAACTTGTAATCTCCTTAGATCGCTACGAACTGTCAAAGTTGTTTAGCAAAGTGTAGTTTGCTAAACAAAAAAAAACGGCACGGAGAAAGGTACAAGCAATCACACCGCGCTGTCTCATTTCTATGCAAGATGTATGCATAAATCTATCTTTTTCATGTGCGAATGCGAAAGAAGACATCAATTTGTCTATAGGTTTCACTGTCTATGCTTTAAATTGACTAACATTTGAGTGTTCGAGCATAAGGCATTCAAAATTACAATACATACATAACCCGTATTTTATCCACTGAGATTCGAACCCAGAACTATTTTACTAATAAAGAACAATATTATTAAAAATGTGGGAGTTGTTTTGGATGTTTGTCCTTCATGCTCGAACAGTTGAATGTACTTGATTGAAAATTTTAGTAAAGTAAATTATATCCTCGATCAAAGGACAGGGTACATAAGTATAATAAAAATTATTCAAAAATATATAAATAAAGTTTAATTTACTTTTAATATTTTTATTATAGATATTTTAACCACGAACCTAAAACAGCTGTTTTAACAATATTTTTAATAATAAATTAATCGTTAACAATAAAGAGTATTATTTTAATAAGGGGCTGACTTTTCAAACATAAGACAAAAGTTTTTGATAGGATAATCTCAGACCAACAAAGAAAAAAAAAAAGAAAGAAACACTGAACGCTGCGCACCTTTCAATTGGGGTTGCCACCTGTACTATAATATATAGTACTGTTTTATATTTCAGTCATTTGTACTATATATTGTAGAAAAATAATATAGTACGAAAAATACTATATTTTTATCCTAATTCCACTGTCGCGCTCTTTTATATTAACTCTGATTGGAAGTAAATTTTACGGAAACAATTTATTTCCGTCATGAATGTAAAATTGAAAGAATAAATAAATAGAGCATATGGAAATTTAATTTAAAATAATTTGTTCATTTATTTTAATATGAATCTAAATTGCTCAGATTTCTATAATTATTTTGAAGGTAATCAATCATTCATAGTTAAAGCAAATAGCAATAACAAATATATATGAAAAAATACATAAAAAAATGTTTACTTTTTTCTCCAGAATGTCTCAAAAGTACTACATTTTTGCATCTTTTTGAGAAAAATACTAGATTTGTTCAAAAAAAGGTGGCAACCCTAATTTCAAGTGACGTAAAACCAAGCTAAAAGTAAAATCATATTCAATAGGTATGTAGGAACAATCACTCACGCACACATATGCATCTGCAACCAACAATATGGTTTTAGGTGCACATGTGTGCGTCCAGCAGAAAGAAGAAAGATGTGTGCGTGGACGTCAAGAAATTGAGCATGATTTCGGCATCACTTGAAGCGCTTCGTCCATGTTTTTTGTGGGTCTGAGAGAATAAAATAAAACTTAGTAACAGGAATAAAATATATAGTTCAATTATTTTCATTCAGCCAGGTTATCAATTAGTTTTTGGCTAACTTTTTCTTAACGTTTGAAAAATCACCTCTAAACCTAAAATACTAAAATATGTTATGAGGTTTTCGAACACATTTTGCATTACCTCATGTTTTATTCAAAAACATATCTACATTAAAGTGATGTAATCTTTAATATCGATAATTTGATAAATGCTTAAAATAACCTAAATGGAAGATTTAATGTTTCGTTCTTTGACAATAATTTATGGTACTAAGTCTAATCCTAAAATACTAAAGTCAAGGCACTGAGGAATGAAATGTGATTATTATATCTTAGACTATAAAAGGGACCACAACATTTACTTGTAAATTAAATACTCTAATACCCGCGTTCTCAAACACTGCTCAGTTTTAAGAGACTGTCTGCCAAATTTAATCAAAAACCGGACATCATCAACAAAATGGTCATCAG